AACATATAAGTTGGTAATTCTTATATTAAAAAAATACAAAAAACTCAAATAAGCCTCAACGCTGTGGCGTAATCTTGAAATGAAGATCATTTTAAAAAATTGTGGCTCTGAAAATATGTAAATGGACCCTTATATCAAAGAAATCCATAAAACTCAAATATGGGGTAATCCTAAAATGGAGATCATTTTCAAAAATTCTGGCCCTGAAAACATGTAAATCTACCCTTATATCGAAAAACTACTCAAATAAGCCGCAACGCAGTGGCATAATCTTAAAATGGAGATCATTTTAAAAAACTGTAGTTCCGAAAACATATAAATTGACCCTTATATCGAAGAAATACAAAAAACTCAAATATGCCGTAATGCAGTGGCATAATCCTGAAATGGAAATCATTTCCTAAAAATAGTGGCCCCTTAAACATATAAATCAAAGTTTATATCAGAAAAATTTTTAAAATTACAAAAAAAGTTATTTGAATATTATTTTTATCTTAAATAACAAATAATAGACAATGTATGTTATCTGTAAATAACAAATAATTATTTGTCCAAAGGTCATCGAATAAGAATAACAAATAAATATTTATCTATTATTCGTTGTCTATATAAAATTTCAAATATTTATTTGATTAATTCCCAACTCTGTCTGAGGGTGTATGAGTGCTGCCGGTGTTGAAAGATTAGAATTTAGAAAAGAGTCAAAGGGATTATGGACCACAAACAGTATGTGCTAATGTTGTTGTTATAGGGCTATAGTAACGTTATTAGTATAACTTTTGTTTGTTTGTTTAATAATATGTGTAGCCACACTTTAAATCCTGTTATTAAATAAAGTAGAAAAAAAAATCATGGTAATTGAAAAATTTAATATTGTATTTTATAGATCATAAAAATTCTCATGATAATTTTGTACTATTTTGTTATATTAAATACATATAATTAGAAACTTCATTGTTATCACTGTTACTTATAGAAGAACCGCTTTTTTTGCCAAAAAAAGTGCATTTTCTAAGGAACTTTTTCAAATATTTTAAAAATTAATACTGATTTAGAAAGAGAAATGTATTTTCCAGATGTTTTATTTCAAGGCATTTTTCGTTTTTGTTGGCTGTTTATTTACAAACAACGTTTGATTTTCAACATTAGTTTAAACAAAATGAATAAATTGACTTCACCAGTGTTTTAATTGCCGAAACCAATTATTTTTACATGTTTTATTATTATCTGACTATTCTGCTTTAATAAAATGCCAATTATGACGAAATTAAAACAAATGCTGAATTTCAGTGACCGAAAAACTAACTCAAGTCAAAGTTGTCAATCCGCCATGTTGGACGCCATTTTGGGACAGTGCGTTCATCTCTTTGTGTGGGACCATTGGCTTTTTTTTATTATACTTTTTCTAAAAATGGCAACTCTTTATGAAAAAATTTAAAATAGCTGTAATTGTAGATTGGTTGAAGTTTAATTTGCATATGTAGATATATTCTAATAGGAAATTTAAATGAACTTCATTTAAATCTCTACAACTTCATTTAAATGAAAATCTTTAATGATATAAAGGAATATTTGATGAAAAATGTGAGACAAAATGATTTGTTTTGAAAATGTTAACTTTTTCCAAGCGTATAGCTCGAAAAAGGTTTAGAATTAAGAGAAAACCTGTAGAATAAAAGTTTTTGAAAATCTTATAAACCTTAATTTATTATACTAAAAATTTCCCCTGCAACACATATTGTGACCTTTCCTTCCCCCTCCCTCGAATCACCACCTAGACATCAGGACTTTTGATATGTTCACACTATAAGCAACCTTAACATGTTTCTGAAGGTATCGCTTAGGTCTCTACTCAGGCATTTTTTACCTCATTTATTGACTGGACTATATACTCTGAATGTTCTCCTCACAGGGAGAACAAGCCATCTTACCTAGTCCTGTCATAAATATTGTTACAAGGAAATATATACAGATTTCAACAGAAAAATTAATTTTTTCAAAAACTTTATTAGAAAATAAAATGTATATCTATAGAGAGTAAAACAAAAAATAAATTACTCAAAATGTCCCCTTTTGCCTTGACACAGGCATTTAATCTCCGTGGCCAGTCATCAATAGCAGCACGCAGCACTTCTTGAGGAAAGCGCTCAACTGCTCGGACCAGAGATTGTTTGAGGCTTTCCAAGTTAGGGTGTGCTCTGTGGCATGCCATCCTCTCCAGTTCGGACCAAAGCCGATAATCTAGTGGGTTGAGATCAGGGCTTCCTGAGGGCCAATCCGAGGCAGAGATGAACTCTGGAATGTTCTTTTGCAGCCACTGCTGAGTTGACCTGGCCTTGTGAGCTGGAGCGGAATCCTGCTGGAAAACCCAATGACTTCCAGCAAACAGAGTATCATTTAGAGGCTTGACAACAGGTTCCAAAATATCGTCCTGATAGTTTTTAGCGGCTGTTTCAACTCCTTTTTCACAAAAATGGAGCTTTGTGGTGCCATCAAAGCAAACTCCCACCAAACCATCACTGAGGAAGGGTGATGACCTCTTTCCACTCTTCCAATGACTTCCTGGCTTCTTTAGAGCTGTGTGCGTACACACGATCATTTTGGCGATTAAATTTTTCTTCAATTGTAAAATTTTCTCATCGCTAAACAAAATCTTTCGAAGAAGACCATTGATGTAACGGCCAAGGAACACTATGCATCTATCCACTCTAATTTTTTTTTGGGATGTGGTTAGGCGTTGTCCTGTCATTCTTCAAAATGCACCCATCCTAAGGCCACTTTTTATTATGTGAAACATGGATCTGACAGAGATTCCCATTTCTCGAGGCATGATTTGTTGTTTTCGAATGGGATTTCTTCTGATTCGAGCAGCCACTGCTCTCACTGCATTTGCCGTTCTCACAGTGCGGGGTCGAGTCGAGGTCTGTCACATACAGATAGGGTCTCATTATATCTATTTATAGTGCGGTACACGAACATACGGCTGATACCCAAAGGTTTCAAAGTGTTGAAAATCTCTGACCTACATTTTCCAACTTTGTGTAAGGCGATCACAGCTATTCGGTTTTCTTTATCACCCCACTCCATGTTAACTGAGCGAAAGAAAAATACAAACTAATTGGGATTATTATCCTGACATGTAAAGAAAATAACCTGATAGAGGTAAGGATTATCTAAATAATACCCAAGGATGTAAACAAAGTTCAACTTTTGTAACAGTATTTATGGCAGAACTAGGTATGCAATATTAATAGGGATAGGAGAATTCCATAAATTAATTGTTCAAGGAAAAACCTGAATAAGTTTAGAAGCTACATGCTGAAATGTAAGAAAATGTTTCTGGTGTTGTTGATAAACAATTTGAATTCTTACAATCAATTTGGCTTTTGTAATTGTGGAAAAATCATTCCAAAACCTAATTTTTTTTTACAAAATATTACACCTACTATATGGTAATATTTTTAATAGAAATATGAGAGAAAAAATACATAGATATGATATCTCTAAGATTCCAGTTTATGAGGTGCCAGAAAAATAATCAAAACTTTGACAATACAAGAAACTAAAACATCATAAACCCTTCAATTGTTCAGATATTGAAATGTGTTCTTGGAGATTTTTCATAATTTTTTAATAACTATGAAAAGAGTATTAAATAATAGATGCCATCTGCAAACCTATAGATTTCACAGCATATGAGCCGCTTCAGAAGCGTCAAAGTTGATTAGCAACAGTGATACACTCAGTGTCAAAATGTTAGACACACTTCAAAAATTGTTATCCCTATCCTTCCATCTTTCAAATTATCCGTAAAACAGTATTAAAATAATCAATCACTCTCCTGAAGTTAATCATCAGCCTGCTTGTATTTTGGTTCTCAAGCCAAAAATATATACCTACATTTTTTTTTTTTTTTTCAAATTAAAGTTAAGGCCCGTCAAAATGTTAGACACGCTCACTGGTAAAAATAAATAAAACTCATTTTATTACTTCATGGTATTTTCACCACCATTTATTAATTCAAAAGCTCTGTTTGGTAATAAATCATACAATTGTTTGATTGTTTCTTGAGGTAATTGTTCCCATGAAGCCAGAATTGCAGATTTCAAATCCTTTTTATTTTTTAAATAATCTTTGGACATTTTTTTTTTTTTTTGCATCTTCCCCTTCCTCGCCGTTAAGGCTATACGGGGTTTTCCCGGGCCAGGGGGTATGGGCAGGGATTTAAAAGACGCCTTGGCACCGGGACGCGAACTCGTGACTATTTTTTTATAACACATTTGTCATATATCAGGTTGTCGGGCAACGGTGGTGCTGTGCACAACGCGTTAGCCCATTCGGCCACCCTGCCCACAGTTTTACAAGAGTTGGATGCGATTCAAAGAATATTCTGTGTCTCGTAATGTCAAAGAAGGGACCTTCCAGTAGAACATATGTCTCCCCGCGCCAAATAAACTCCATGACTGATGAAAAACTGGGTTTGATTCGGCATGGCTATTTCTCTACAACTCATCCCGTCCTTGTGGAGTGAATAAATCAAACGGCGCTCTTCTTCGGAGAAATCCTTATTTTTTTCCCGTAACTCACGTTCTTTTTAGGTCTATTTTGAAACAAATTCAACACTGCACTGAAGTAGAAATGGTATTTTAACAATTTCAACTCTAGAGGATTAATAAAATAGTAAACAACAAGTTTGTCTATCATTTTGACGTATATAAAATGTCAATAATTACTGATATTGGATTTAAATAATCCTCAAGGTCTGAGAAGATTGTCCCCATTTCAATATCATAATTTAAACTTTAAAGTGTGCTTTAAAAATAATATCAATAAAAAATAAAGAAAGGGCGTATCTAACATTTTGACACTGAGTGTAGTTGAAACTATTGAAGTAGAGTTTTTTACTTTTATCTCTGGTATGTTTTTATTGGGTCCATTTATACTAGACATCCTGTGATTGTGTGTAAATAAATATATATAATGTATGTGTATATTTTCAGTTTAGTTGCAGGAGATGTAAGAGGAAATTTCAAAGTATTGTTCAGCAAAGTTGAAAAGTCTATAAATAAATGTGGACCATTTGCTTTTTTATTATGCACGGGAAGTTTTTTTGGTAAAACTCCAAATCTCTTGGAATGGAGTTATTATAAATCAAACCCACACAATAGTGAGTAATTATATGATTATGATTATAATATTTCTAAGAATCATTTATTGCCATGTAATAAATCTTTCAATAGAATTGATTTAATTTCCCTAATATAAACGTAATTTAATTGATTTTCCCTTATTTGTATGTTAAGTTATAGGAAATAAACTGATATATATATATATATATATATATATATATATATATATATATATATATATATATATATATATATATATATATATATATATATATTGAGAACTATTACAATACAGTCAATATTAGTTTCAGTCACTTATTGTAGTATTAAAGCCAGGAAATGTGATTTGTGACAGCAGAGCAAGAACTAGGATTTTTCCGGTGGGAAAGCCTAATTTTTCTTCTTATTCATTCACAATCTCTCCTCACCAATGAAATTAAGCAATTTAGAAACAATTATTTTTAAAAAATTAATTTGAAATTCGGAGCCCGAGACAGGTGTCACCTTTTCTACCCCACATAGTTCCTACCCTGTGGGTCAGAGCAAATTGATATTATCATCATAGTGGGTGTTATGACCTGTCACCAAGTCTGGGCTTCCTTTAAAAGCCTCCACCAGTGGGCCTGGTCTGTTGCAGTTGCTTTCCAGTTTTGGGTGCCTCTCTGCTTGCCATGAAGCTCATTTGTCAAAATATTTTTTGGTATATCATTATCCTCAATCCTTACCATGTGGTCTGCCTATCAAAGTTTCCTGATTTTAATAAATTTAACCATATCAAATTTTTATAACCCAGAAAACTCCGTATTCTTCCATCTTCTCCCGGTGTTTCCCTTTTGATCTAGGCCAAAAATTCTTCTCAGTGTTTTTCTTTCAATTACTAGGAGCCTTGCCTTATCAGCTTCGGTGGAGACCCATGTTTCTGACCAATATATAAGAACTGAGTGCACCGAGGTCTTATAAAGACTGATTTTTATCCTGTTGGAGAGTTAGCTGCAGCGATCCTCCTGTAGATTTTAATACATTGTTTTGAGCATTCAAGTAGTGTTTTATAAGGTGAATCGAGAAGTTACAAAGATTAACTCTAGATAATATAATGAAATTAAAGTAACAGACAAAATAAAATAATAACAAGTAAATTAATAAACAAAAGAAGTAGGAAAACTTTGTTGTGTGCATCACACTACCTTCACGTATCACCCTTTTTTTTTTTAGCAGATATAGGTATTTTGAGACAAAGGGAAGTAATAATAATAATAATAAGGCTTAGCGAACCCGAAGGTTCGATGCCGACACCACCAATCGCTTGTTACACACCTCCCTCTACCGTTCGCCGTCCAAACCCAGTCCCTTCAGATCGGAATGCAATCTTCCCACCTTCGCTTTGGTCTACCTCTCGGACGCTTACCATTCGGCACAGCAAATATTAACCTTTTAGGAATTCTCTCGTTACTAAGCCCAACAACTTTACAAGCCCATTTGATTCGCCGCGATGAAATTACATCAATTATATTACCCGGATACAGCTCACGCAATTCGGCGTTGTGTAACCGTCTGAACTCCCCGGTTAACTCATCCTTCTTCGGTCCGAATATTCTACGCAATACTTTATTTTCAAAAACCTTAAGACGCTGCTCATCCCTTAATGTAAGCGGCCAAGTTTCGCATCCATAAAGAACTGTAGGCAAGATAATTGTTTTATAGATTCTAATTTTTAAGTTCCGGGACAAGAGGCGCGAACTAAGTAGTTTTGTCACAGAAAAAAAACAAGCATTTCCCGCCTTCAGTCTAACCTTAATCTCTTCTTCAATTTCGTTTTTTCTAGTTATCGTTGAAACTAGATACCTAAATTTATCTACCTGTTCAAACATATTACCATCTATATCGATGTCACCAGTAGTATCGCCATTTTTGCAGCTAACCATATATTTTGTTTTATCCACGTTTATTTCGAGTCCTAGTTCTTTCCCGGCTTTCATTAACGTTGTCGTATTTAGTTTTATAGTTTCAACGTCTTCGCTTAACAGTACCAGATTATCAGCATAGCCCAGCACGGATGTTGTCCCGCCCAGATCCAACCCTTTCTCGGTTCGCATTACCTCCCTAATGGCATGTTCTAATGCCAAACTGAACAGGACAGGCGAAAGAGAATCCCCCTGTTTTAAGCCCGAACGAACCTCAAATTTTTCAGACAAATTATTACCGATTCTAACTTTATTGAGTGTCAACGTCAAGCACATCCTGACTAGATTTTCTAGTTTTTTTGGAATCCCCTGCTCAATTAGAATATTATACAGTTTCTGGCGGTCAATAGAATCGTAAGCCTTTTTAAAATCTATATACAGCTGGTGAACAATACCGTTATACTCCAATTTTTTCTCTAATATTTGCCGTAAAGAAAATATTTGATCAATAGTCGAACGATTCCGTCTCAATCGGCATTGGTAGTCTCCGATAATTTCCTTGGCGTATTCCGTGATTCGACTGGTTAAGATTGAAGTGAATATTTTATAACATACTGGAAGGAGTGAAATTCCTCGATAGTTATTACAATCCGTCCTCGGACCCTTTTTGTGAATCGGAATAAGAATAGATTCTTTCCATTCTTCAGGTAATTTCTCGTTCACCCAGATCTTTTTAACCAACCGATGTATTTTAGAAACTCCAGCTTCCCCGCATGCCTTAATTAGTTCAGTAGGAATATTATCGATTCCCGCTGCTTTATATGATTTTAATTTTCCGATAGCTACTTCAACTTCCTCTTTACTTGGTCCTTCTATTAACGGTTCAGCACTCTGGTACTCAGAAGGAGGACACAGATCATAATTTCCCGTATTTAAAATATTGTCAAAGTGGTCCTTAAACTTATTCAATATGTCAACCGGATCGGTCAGAATATTGTTATTATCATCCCTAATTCCAGACGTTACGGGCCCTAAATATTTACGTGATCTGTTTATACCTTTGTACATGTCTCTTATGTTATTTTCGATTCTATTAGTTTCTATTTCAATTATTTTATTTTTAAGATACTCCCTTTTTTTATTTTTGAGCAATTTTGTCGTTTCGTTCTTTGAGATTCGGAAGTATTCCAGACTGTCTTCGCTAGGATTATTTAGAGCTTTTAATTTAGCGACTTTTCTTTTTTCGCACATGTTTAAGCAATCTTCATCAAACCACGGTTTGTTATTCTTAGTTTCCTTTTTTCCTAGGCACGAGTTACCGACCGCTTTTATATTATCCCTTATCTCTACCCATAACTTGTCAATATCCTTGTGGTCCTCGTCAGGAAGCTCCAAAGCTTCAAACCTATTCTTAACATCTAGCTCGAATTGGTTTCTAATTGATGGATTTTTTAATTTTTCCAAATTAAAATTCTCAAAATCGAAACGGTTTTCTTTTCTCTTTTTTATATTAAGTTTTTGTCGAAGTTTCGCGATTACCAATTCATGATCCGACCCACATTCTGCTCCGCGATAAGACCGTACATTGATTATACTGCTTTGCCAGCTGTGTTGTATCAAGACATGATCTATTTGATTTCGTGTTTGCGAATCCGGTGATGTCCAAGTATATTTATGAATATCGTTATGTTTAAACGTCGTACTTTTAATTATCAGGTTTTTCGAGATGGCAAAGTTTATCAGACGGACCCCATTATCATTACTATATTCGTGCAAACTTTCTTTACCAATCGTCGGAATATAAACTTCTTCCCTTCCTACCTTGGCGTTCGCGTCACCTACAATTATTTTCATGTAGTTTCGCGGTAGTTTATCATAAACCCATTCGAGTTTATCGTAAAATTCACTTTTGACTTCATCGTCACTGTTTTCGGTCGGACAAAGAATTGTACTCAAAGCGGATAGTAATCTACTCCTAATTAGAAACCCGGTACCTAAACAATGATTCCCGCTTCCTCCGTACCAAATAGTGTACTTTCCTTCCCTCATCGAGCCCTCCCCTGGCCAGCGAACCTCTTGCAGAGCCACGACATCCAAATTGTACCCATTTACCTCATTCGCGACCGATTTTAGCCCCCCTGCTGTGTTTAAACTCCTTACGTTCCACGTACCAATATTTAAATCCCTATATTTCAACTTGCGCCATGAATCCTCTAAAGCAGTCCCCACCCGGAGACCCGAACGGGGGACTAGTTTACCTCCGGATAATGAGCGTTTTACCTTAGGGAGATCCATGACTTTTTGTGGTGCTTGGTGAACTAAAGATATGTGAGTAGGGCGTTCAATCCTACGTCACACCCTCCAGCAAGTCTGGTGGGCCCCTACCTCCAGCAAGTCTGGAGGTCCCCTCCCTCCAGCAAGTCTGGAGGTCCCCTCCCTCCAGCAAGTCTGGAGGGCCCCTCTCATTGTTGGTCAGCGAGTCCATCGGACTTAGCCGGGAGGAACTTCCAAGGAATTTCCACCGACCATCCCCACATCCGCCACCCATGGGACGCTCCCCATATGCGGTAATGAGCCCGCGCGAGGGAAAGGGAAGTAAAAGTAAAAATTAAAGATGGTACAAGATATTATTTACAACAATTAATTACCATTTATTTTGCACAACTGTCTAATGTATTTATGCTTTTTTTGTCACCACCCATTTCCATTTAAGACTGTACATTTTATATAAATTATATATGCACCGCAGTGATACCAGGGCAAGAGTCTTTTGCCTGTCAGTGCAAAGCTCCTCTTCATCACTGGTCAATTTCTCAGAAATTAGCCAATGTGCCAGATGCTCTGTTTCAGGCGATTTTCCATTTCGGGGACGAAGTTTGTAGGTGTGCTGATCTATTTGGCATCAAAGCAAATAATATAGAAGTCTCATCAGTCAGGAAAGTTAGGCAGTCCCTGAGGGAAAAGTCCTTTAATGAGTGGAGAAATGTAAGTGATTGGGAATTGGTGTCCCATTTAAATCGAACCCTTGGGTCAATAAATTTATTTATGATAGGAAATTTCTCACAGGCTCAAAATGAACAAACGCACTGAAATTGAACATCAATTACTCCCTCTCCATGGAGTACCAGGAACTGGAA